GTTTAAAAGTAAAACCAAATTATTTTATAAGTCTGACAGAGTGATTGTTAACAATATTAATATATATAATTGCATATTATCTTACTAGAAGTATTGTAATTAACTTACAAGTACAATGTATTACTTTTATGACTATTATAATCAATCAACTATTGTTACAAATAACTTATAATATAATTTTAGCAGATTATAATAAGAGTTAAGTGCTTGTATCTCACATGTAATGTTGTAATAATACTATTAGTAAGCTTACTTGCTCTAAAGCATGTTTGTAGTTTAATAGAAACTTTGTATATTTCTTACATTTATATACAATCATTATAATTACATTACAAGTAAAATATAAGTATTATTTTAGAATGTAATGCTTATGAAATCATTTTATTAGATTACTTTTGCTATTATTAAATACATTTGTTGCGACTTTTTCGTGATGTGGTATACACATACGCGCGTAAATATACGCCCGTATTTTCAGCTAAAATTTTCTCTTACGATACGGTGCGTAAGCATATACGCTGCAAGCGTATCCGTAAATTACGCTACGGTGCGGAGCACTACCAAAGACGGGCAAATATGGCTTCTTATACTCACGAAAATAATAACACAAATTAATGCTTTTACCGTACTTTACCATACCTTCATACTTATGCAGCCTCTAGCAGGCGAGCAACAAGCTTCTTCCCACTCACTTTATTTTCCTTTAAACACTACAAACCATCAGGGATCCCGACCAGGCCATTAGGAAGCATCTCGATGCGGTTCGGCTACCGCATCAACACATTAGACCACCTTTTATCCAAACCCAGAGATCACACACCTTAATCGCTCCATTTTCAAGCAGGTGTGCCAACTTGCTTGCTAAACTTGCGGCGAGCTGTCGCAACTCAGGCATATGGAAATCCGCAAAAATAGTATCAATGACTGGCTTCCCTTTGTTCTTATCGATCTTTGCTCCTTGAATAAAAACTAGTGTCCCGCCAGGCGCAAGGACGTCCCACGCCTGTTGCTGTGTAGATTGCTCGGATACCGCATCATATATCAACTCGACCGGCGTATCGCCGAGGACCATTTTGACTTCGATTAGAACGTTAGCTTTGCGATCAATTACGTTTGTTGCACCGATTGATTCGAGAAAGTTGGAATTATGTAAGGAAGTAGTTGTGACGATGAGAGAAAACCCAGAGAGATTTGCGAGCTGTATGGCTACAAAGACGTCCGCATCAGCGCGTCCAAAGCATACGTCTGTGATAAAGTTACTTACCGTACTGGCCCACGGTGGATGATCCTCCGAAAATGACAATAGGCTTTCCACGATATAGATCTTCACCATCTTCCACCCAACAAGGTGTATATTTCTGGACTCCGGCTGGTCTGTCCCCGTAAAGACCTATAGCTGCAGTTGCGATGCCGAGAGGGATAGACGCTGCCTCGTCGAAGGAAATATTCTTCGGTAGCTAAAGAACATGTTGCATTGGAAGAGCCTCTGAATAGACATGGAAATGGACTGACCTTCACTGCAATTTTAGCTGGCACCGTTGTGTACTGTTGGAATGTAGCCTTGTCATTCGAAAAGAAAGTTCCTTCATGGGCACTAGAAATGAGAGTGAGACTGGTTAGAGAGTACATGCGAAAAGATGTTATACACTCTGTCGCCCTTCGCAAATCCTTGCACGTCTTCACCCACCTCCTCCACAGTCCCAGCCGAATCGGTCCCGAAGATAACAGGATAAGCAGGTACGAAGAAGTTGAATTCACGTCTTTTCCAGTCTGCTGGGTTCAAAGCAGTCGCATGGATCTTCTCCAGGTCCGGGTTTCGGGATAGACGTTTGTCTAACACGAAACCCGCCCTTAGGGGATTCAAGAAAAAGTGCCTTTTGTTCAGCAGTTGACAGGGATATATGTTGATAATGAGATGGGGACAAGTCGATCGTTCCTGTATCTAGTCTTATATTGATTCGTGTAAATAGAAAGCAACATCGTGCATGGGCGTTTCTTAGCAATCCCGAAGCACAGGCACAAACGAAAAGCTCTTAGTAAAGCGTCCCCTTCGCAGTCCTAGTTCCATTATATTGCTATCCAAGTCATTCCCGAGACGGTCTTTAGGGGTTGATGAGACAAGGAACCCAGGTCGTACATGGTACGTGATGCAGCAAGCTATTAAAGCAATTCAGAATGTACAAGCAGAGGGATTTTGACCATAGAATGGAATAGATAAGCTTGAACAGAGAACATATTGCCTTGCACTAGGCAGGAGATGTTCCTTTGATAGTAGAAAACTGGCATTTCTGCTCACTGAATTTTAACAAGCATAGCAGGAGTGCCCCAAGTTCTCTCTCTTATTAAGACATCAAGCAAGTGTCTGCCTTATATACTACATAGTGAAGACTGATAGTCTGAGACATTCCAAGTGCAGTAACTCTACATAAGGCAATTAGGGATTTCCTAATCCAGAGCACAATCTAATACTCCCCTTCAAGCATTAATTAAGAACTAGGACTGTATGCCTAATAGTTTGTTTAGATGCTTGATCTGTAGGATGTGGAGAGCTTTTGTAAGGATGTCTACTAATTGGTTCTGTGATTGAACATAGTATACATTAATGTAATCATTTTGAATGTAACATTGCACAAAGTCTTTTCATAAATCAAAATGTTTAGTGCAAGTATTGTATGTTATTTTGTCAGACTTTATAGTCTTTATTACACCTTGATTATCATAATAAATTGTAATGGGTACTGATTCAGTCTGTAGTACTTCTTCAGCAAATTGTTTGAGCCAAATGGCTTCTTGAGTAGCATATGCTAGCACTTGCAACTCTGCTTTGTAAACAGATAGTAGTACCAGGTTTTACTGTTTGCTTGACCAGGATATGGTTGATTTAGCTAATTGAAAGATGTAGCTGTTTATTGCTTTATGTCCTTCTGTCATTCATCTGTCTGCATCACAATAGTCTCATAGTTTTAAGGTGTTTGTGCTTCCAAGTTGAAGCCAGCAATTCATTGTATATTTTAAATACACAAAGCAATGTTTCACTACTTTGTAGTAATACATTTAGGGCTTTTGTAAGTAGCACACTAATTGCCCAGTAATATAAGATATGTCTGGCTGTGTGCAATCTGTAACATATCTTAATAATCCTACCATATTCATGTATAGTATTGTTTCATTATTACTTTCATTTGTATTGTATGTATTGTTTGTATTGTTAGATAGATCTATTCTAGGAGTAATAGGCATTCATAGTGCCTTTTTGTTTTCAAAGTGGTAACACTTGATTATACTTTCAATATAATGCTTTTGCTGTAAGCTAATCATTTGTTAAGGTCTATCTCAGCTTATTTTAATACTAAGTAACCAATGTATTTTGTTACTGTTAGTAAATGTAATGTGTTGTCTTAATACATGTTTAAATGCTGTTATTATAGCAATAGTTTCACTAATAATCATAATATCATCAATGTGTATAAATGTTACAAGAATTGTTTTATTATTTTGTTTCTTGTAAAATACAGTGTGATCATAATTAGCTTGTTCTAATCTAATCTTAAGCAGTAGTTTGGTAATCTTCTTATACTATTGTCTACCTGCTTGTTTCAATCTGTATAATGCTTTATTTAAGTGTAACACCTGTCCAAGTTTAATATCCATAAGTAGCCTGCCTGGCAGCAGTTTCACATAAATGAGTTTGTCCTCATTTAGTTCTCTGTAAAGATATGCAGATTTTACATCTATCTAATGTATTTCATTGTTCTTAGATGCTGCCTAAGATAACAATAATTGTACTATTAATAGTTTTGTTACTGGAGCAAATAAGTTGTCAGAATAGAAGTCTATTCCATTCTTTTGAGTGTATCCTTACACTACAAATCATGCTTTGTATTTGTCTATTTGACTGTTAGCCAGTCTTTTGATTTTATAGACAAATTTTGTTTCAATTATATTTGTATTTGTAGGGGGGATAGCATATATCTATGTGTTTCATTGTTGAAGTGACTGTATTTCATCCTTCATAGCTTTGATCCACTGTTCTTTGTCTATACATGTTATAGCATTGTAATACATTAATAGATTGTTATAGATTTTGTTGAGGAATTTGTTAAAATCTGTTAGATACATAGCTAGGTTTATATTGTCTTTGTAATTTAAACCTATAGTTCATTTAACCAGTCTTCACTCTTGTGTAGAGTGTTGTATGACAGGTTCTTTATCTTTATTATTGTTATTAGGAAGAGTTTTATTATTGTTTGATGTATCACTATTATAGTTATTCTCCCCTTCAATCCTAGACATTAGTTTGTCTATGAATTGTACATTGTGTTCAACAGTAACTTTATTATTATGGCACACTAAGTGACCTTTACTGTTGTTATCATAACCTAGCCATTGTGTGTATTAGCCTCTAGATTGTAGTTTATGTGTTCATTTGTTCTGTATGATACAATATGTACCAAATTCTCATATATTATCTATTTAATAATGTTCATTATACTGTTTGTAATATAGTGTTGCAAAATTAATAGTAACTCTCAGCATTCTGTTATAAATAAACATTTGATATTGTACCACATATACCTAGAATTTCATAGGTAACTTTACTGATAACAGACACATACATACACTGTTAAAGATAGTCTTATACATACATTCTGCAACTCTGTTCTGCTACAGTGTATTGTGTACTGTTAATCTATGTATTATTCCTTGACTTTCAATATATGTAGTGAAGTCTTTACTTAGGAATACTGTATTGTTATCACTTTAGAGAGTTTTAACTCTTATACTGTACTGTGTAAAGAGTCTCATTGTATGCTTTACATATTTAGTGAAAGCATTGCTTTTATGCTACATAGGTAGTATAGTTACCCATTGTATAGTATCATTTACAATAGTAAAAAGATATTTGTATTTGCTGTAAGCTTGTACTGGGGCAGGTCCCCAAATATTAATGTGGAGATAATCTCCATAACATTGTGTAAGAGGTGTTGTTTGTATTTTTGGTATTTCATTACATTGTATGTTTGCTTTGATACAATCTGTACACTGTGCATTTTTATCATCTGTTATCCTTTGACTTATAATCTCAGAATACTCTTGTATGAGTTTGTACAAGTAATCAAAATTAACATGACCTATTCATTGATGTAAATCAACAATAGTGATTGTGTTAATAGATTGTTTATTATGATGAGAAACTATCATATACAAGTTATTTCATACATGTATTTCAATAATCTTTGTATGAGCAGGAGAATAAATAATACATTCATTGTTTGTTTTCATTAAAACATATCCTACTTTGTATAATAGTACTTTACTAACAAGTGTAAAGTTCAGATTAGGATGATAGTATATGTTTTGTAGTAAAATCATATTCACCTTAGTATGCTCATTAGCTTTGTCTTGTAGTTTTACATTAAATGTCATTACTCTACTTTTACTAAGTATGAATGACAATTTATTTACAATTGTAACATTTATTAGGGTCAAGTTCCAAATGTTTGTAAGACAGAACAAGTATGGAGTAGTGTGTACATTTGCACCAGAGTCTAATATATCAATACAATGTATTAGTTTAGTATCATTATAATGTATTATATTGATACATATGTTTGGATTGTAATTGAACTCCTTAATGACTTCTTTTGTATTGTCAAATGAGTTCATAAAGTCATCTACTTGTATGACACTATCCTCTTGTACTTTGAATGCTGAAAATACATTAGATTCAGCAGATAGAGTAGATTAAACAGGTAAGCTGCTAGAACTTGATACTGAGGCTTCTGTAATTACAGACTCTAGCATTAGTATTTTATTAACATCTTTAATGAATACTGTTTTGTTATTGTCTTTAATAAATACTGCTGTATTAAGTGCAGGTTGAGACAGTATAGTAGTAGTAGTAGAAGTAGTAACTGTTTGCTTATACTTTTTCTTTCAAGCTTCTGTTGTTTTGCTTATTAGAGGATTTCAGTAGTCTTTTAACATATGCCTGTACTTATTACAGTTGTAGCATTTAACTTTATTATAAGGCTTCATTTTGCCTTTAGCTACACTTTTGCCTTTTGTTTGTAGGCTGTCTCATTCAGTATCTTGTTTTGTTTGAGAGTACTAAGAATGATACTTAGTATATGTGTTTCATAATTTGTGTATCAACTTAGCTAGTGTCAGAATGTCTTTCTGAGCTACTGTAACTGTTAGTAGTTGATTATAATAAGTAATCTGCCTGTCTAACATTGTTACTACCCATCTATACTCACAAGGAGTAGCAAGGTTAATTGCTAAAATGTATGTATTGTTATTGAGGGCTTTATTATGTACAGACAACTGTCTGTAGATTTGTTCAATGTTGTCTAACATTTTATCAAACTGTAATACATACTCTTTTACTGTAAACAATGTAGATATGTCTACAGTATGTGTCATTATTGTTTGAACATTGTATTGTTCAGAAAGCACCTTCATAAGACTTCTAACACTTGTATGTGTTGTGAAGTTTGTATAAATTGTATCAGTTATTGTTTTCATTATACAATAATACAAAACATTGCTTGTACATATGCTAGCATCATTGGAGGAAGGGGGATTGTGCTCTAGATGGTCTGAGAGCATCATAGTAGTGAGTGTACTGTGTATGTGTAAGCACTATATCTTGTATCCCTTTACACTAGCCAACTTTTCTGTTCCCTCAAAGAACTTCATAATGTCAGAGTCCTTCATCATAGTGTTAACAAAGGTATACATCATAGACAACATTGTAATAGGTTTGGGGGGAGAGGGAGGTCTAGGGCTTGGTGGTCTAGTAGGAGGCAAAGGTGTTCTGTAAGAGCAAGTGTGTAGGGGCATTCAATAGGCACTAAGGCTCAGAACCTTTTAACAAGCATAGTAGGAGTGCCCCAAGTACTCTCTCTTATTGAGACATCAAGCAAGTGTCTGCCTTATATACTACATAGTAAAGACCAATAGTCTGAGACATTCCAAGTGTAGTAACTCTACATAAGGCAATTGGGGATTTCCTAATCCAGAGTGCAATCTAATACTGAAGCAATGAATTCCACATAGCTGTAGGCAACAAAATTTCGACAAAATTGTCATACAACCAACAAAGCACATTTCTATATATGGGCTATTTCTATTACACATCAAATGTCCTCACAGCACCTTGTACTTCCTTTTCTTTTTGTCCTACCTTTCCCCTTTAGCTTTATTTTCTTTACAGTCTTCCCTAAATATCAGATTCACTTCCTTTTAGTTCTTTTCTATTCCAGCAATAATTTTATTTTTCCTGCTCGCGAATCACTCCACTATCTTCACAGATCAAACTTGCTAACAACATTTAGCAAATTGATCAACAGTACTACAAATATTAGACCAATACAAACGTGCAAATTCCAGAGATAAAGCAAGAGGGACTAGGAAAACAAGATTAATGCAAAGGGTTTTGTCTTTGATTGGGAAGGATAACTTAAGGCAAGCCCTTCGCTGGAGAAACTCGGCATACTCATGTGCAATTAAATTATCGAGGTCACTGAAGGATGCATCGCATAGCGACCACTTGCACTTATAAGGGAGTGCAGTGGGCTGAAAATGCTGGGTGCGCACTAGGGCAGTGTCCCAGCTGCCTTTAAGAATGACTGAAATTGTGCAAGAATTGAGTCTGTTGTAGACGTCCTGGCTAATGAGATCCAACGCCAAGCCTAAATGCTGTGTGTCTGGCCGAGTAGAGGTATCCTGGCACCAACAGTGCTCAAGGAGTGTTCAGATGGTGGGCGTGATACAAGGATCAGAAGGCTTCTTGGGTCGACCATCCTCCAGGACGACTTTGAATAGGATGGCAGGGTCGTTCTTCAATTCTGCAAACGGGAGCTTCCCTGTCAGTACCTATAAATGTTGTAAGACCATATACAGCCCATAGTGTCGTTCTGCTCACTTCTAGGATTGTCATTGTGAATGCCTATACATCTGAGGCTTTGGTCGTACGAATTGTCTTGTCTTGTCTAGTTGCCTGCAACAACTCCACAGCCATCCAACGGCATGTTCCCATGATGCTCTGGGTAGTAAAACCACTCGCATCACAAATGCGAGAAAGTCCAAAATCCGCCAGTAAGGCATGCCCATCTCCGTCGATCAGGATATTTTGCTGCTAGGACGAGAATACGGTATAATGGCTATTAGAATATATTCCGTGAACGTGCATAAGTGGAACGACGCACCGCTTTGATATCCCCATGCACCACGGGTGGATTTGCCGAGTGGAGGGCGGACAGTACCGCACCAACTTCTATTAGCTGAAGAAGTGACACGTAAGTAAGAATCCAATCGCAAGATTAGACATCTTTAAACGTACAATGCGCATGCGACCAGCGTGAGGTTGGCAGCGGATATACGTGCTGGCGTCCCCATTTGTGCAGAAAGGAACTACCAGACCCATGAATTCCTGGTACTCAAAAGTAGGATTATCGCAGAAACCAAGAAATGGTAAGATATTGGGGTGCGAAACGCTCTGCAGAGCCCTGATTTCACGTTCCCAGCGCTTAGGAGGTAAAGTAGACATCGTAAGGCATCAATAGAGCAAGGGGGATGATTCCAGTACCTGTAACATCTTCGTCCTGACCTGAATACATCTCGCATTGCCAGTTGTCCCGATGTTGCGTAGATCGGGAAACTTCACAGCGACCTACGTACTGATCGATAACGATTCAAGCAAGCACGTAGGGAGATTAGCTCACAATTCGACTTTTCTGGGACTCGTCCGAGTAGAGAACTGCTTTATGCACTACTGCAAACCCGCCACGTGAAAAGTTGAGGGCTTCTAGCCCACTCAAATTTTTTGTCAGATTTCGCATAGTGGTGGACGATGAGAAAGGTAGGCAATGCACTCACAAGGAAGGCGTTGAGTGCCAGAGTAGTCGTGTTGATGTTCATTATTGCAGGGGACTCAACTTTGGATGAATTGTCTTTTGAAGGAAATCCTGACTATTCGTGAATATTTTTCAGCCGTCAGCGGCTGATGTCTCCTAAAACGAAAAATACTCATATATTATGTAATATTTCCTTGGCGCTTATTCTTCCACCTTCCCCGCTGTCGTTTCACCCGCTGTCGTTTCACAATCACTTCGGGTATTGCCGAAGAATCCTCGTTATCAATCTTTCCTAAATTTATCTAATCCTAATTCAACAGTATAAATGTACCAGCTGGCTGCTTTGAATACAAGCTTTTGCGAGTATCAAGCAAAGTACGCCCTGCAAGGATAATAAGTATAGTTCTCAAGATGCGCATTTGAATGTACTCTTTATATCGGGTCCTCATTGACTCCTCAACTGGATTCCCCGGACAAGACAAGCAGCGTCTAATCGACTCTGCAGAATAGTTCCACGAAAGACAAATACAGATACGATTCCTTTCACTCCAGAAAATAATACTGCAATATTGATGCTTTGTCCGTACATTACACTATCTCCATCCTACTTAAGCAGTTTCAAACGGACGGGCGATGAGCTTCACCCCGCTCACTCTGTTCTCCTTCAGCCGCTTCAGTCCATCCGGAATTCCAGCCAGACCACCCGGAAGCAACTCAACGCGGTTCGGCTGCCGAATCAATTTATCAGATTTCAGTCTTTAAGCCATAAAAGCCAGTTATATACCTTTATCTTCCCGGTTTCAAGAAGGCGCGTCAACTTGCTTTGCAAACCAGCACCGAACTGTCGTAATTCCGGTGTTTGTAAAACGGCGAAAACGGTATCGATGACTGTCTTTCCCTTATCCTTCTCGACATGTGCACCATTTACAGCTACCAGAACTAGTGTCCCGCCAGGAGCAAGAACGGCCCATGCTTGTTGCTGCGTATCCTTCTCAGATATGGCATCATATACCAACTCGACTGGCGTGTCACCAAGAATCTCTTTAACTTTGGTTGGAACATCCGCTTTGCGATCAATTACGTGATTTGCCCCAAGCGATTCAAGGAAATCAGAGTTGGGCAATGAGGCTGTCGCGATGATAGGTGAAAAACCAGACAGCTTCGCAAGCTGTATTACTAAGAGAGATGTCAGCACAAGTGTCCGAGAGACATGCGTTTGTGATGAGGCTCCTTACCATACTGTCCGACAGAAGACGATCCTCCGAAAACGACAATTGGATTTCCACGATACAGACCCTCACCACCTTCCTCCCAACAGGGTGTATACTTCTGGACTCCGGCTGGTCTGTCACCATAAAGGCCCACAGCTGCAGTTGCAATACCGACAGGAATTGACGCAGCCTCGTCAAAAGGGATGTTGTCGGGTAGCTAAACATCATAGTTGTACAAAAAGCCTTTGGCAAAGACACGGAAAGGGGCTTACCTTCGCTGCAAGCTCAGCCGGCACCGTACCGTACTGCTGAAATGTCGCCTTGTCACTAGATGAAACGTTCCCCTCATAGGCGCTGGAAATGGGAGTTAGTCTCCAGACAGAATACACACGGAAGACGTCGTACACTCTATCGCCTTTCTCAAATCCTTGCACACCCTCGCCGAGAGCCTCCACGGTCCCTGCAGCATCGACTCCGAAGATAGCAGGAAAAGGAGGCACGAGTACACTGAATTCGCGCCTTTTCCAGTCTGATGGATTCAAAGCAGTCGCATGGATCTTTACCAAGAGTTCACCAGGTCTGGGTTTCGGGATAGACGTTTGTCCTACGCGGAACTCGGCCTCGAGAGTCTCGAGAATGAGTGCCTTCTGTTCAGCCATTGGTGGGGATTATGTCGATAATGAGATAAGGATAGTTCAGTATCCCCATTCTCATCATTATAACGTCCCGCGAGAGCGAAATAAATTCCGGGGCGCTCTTAGCACTTGTCTGAATAAGCATGAAAGGCTTAGTAAGGTGCAGGTCCATCTTCTTCATTACTACAGATACTAACAGCTGAGTCATTTCGAAGACGTGTTGTTTTCAGGGTGGACAAAGCGAGATCAAGTCGCACCTCTACGTGCTCATTATAGTAAGCGAATGTACCGCTTTGCTCGTCTCTGCACGCCATGATAGCGTTGCTTTGTATACAGTGCGTTGAGTATGCAATGCAATGTGGTCACAGAGATTAGAGAATACCAGCGAAGCAACTACTGCCCGTGAGAAGCTTGAATAGAGAACCTGACGCGTTGCGTCGTCATTGACTCAGGCAAAACATTCTTCTAGCGATCAGTTAAATTGATTACAGTAATTTGCTTTACCACACACCTAAAGAGTGAATCCCGTACACGGTGGCTATTGGATCAGAAGTCTTGTGACTAGTAGTTGCGCGCAGAAATTGCTCCGTATCCTTTGTGTTTGTCCATACCGAAGTGAAGCACGTTTCCAGAAATGGATAAGCCTACCACACTTTTCCGTGATAATATACAGGTATGTAGCAAAAGTCTTCGTCATTCCTCAAAAGGTAAGTGTATCTGTAAGTGATTTGCGTTGACTTATAAGGCTGTAAGAGACACATCAAACCTTTGTCTTACATTTCTAGCATACATGAACACATTATACACACAAAAAAACATGAAAATACAAGCCATTTTGTGGAATTAATACAAAATTCTGTATTTTTTTGTACTTCACAATGTGTTGATCAACCTTTGATTTTCCACACCCGGACCCTGAATCCCACAGCCCATTAGGATGACCCTGAATGGCCACTTACTTAATATCTGTGTGGCAGTTCTCAGACTAAGAAGTTAGGAGGGGGGTTTGGGGGGCTCTGCCCCCCCAATTAGGTTTTGGCTAAGCTGGGTTGTTAGGTTTAGGTATTAGGTTGGGATTTGGTTAGGATTAGGGAGGGGAACATGTATTTTCATTAAAAGGACTTCATTTTGACTTAGTGAAATTCAAAGTCGAAATTGTGAGTGGCCAATTCAAGCTAACCAAATTAGGGCTGTGGAACTCAGGGTCCGGGTGCGGAAAAGACGCGACTGTTTGTCAGACGCGTATCTTACATACCTGTAGTATTGATGCCCCTATTATATATCATTTTACCTTCACTGGACCTACACGGTCTCAAATGGACGGGCGACAAGCTTCACCCGCTC